CACTCTGCTTTCTGCAGTTAATTTTTCAGTCAATTAAGAGAAGCAAAGAAGAATGCAATTTTACTCTTTTCTAAGTATCCACATAATTACCTTTCTTGGTGTTCTGTGTGTGTGTGTGTGTGTGTGTGTGTGTGTGTGTGTGTGTTTATATTATTTTGGGGGTATTGATTTCAGCCTGAATAACTTCAGTATTTCTTGTAACACAGGGACTGCTGGCAACAAATTCCTTCAGTTTTTGTTCATCAAGGAATGTCTCTCCTTCAGTCTGAAGCATAGCCAACCGAACCCCATTTAGTGAGGTCTGTTGGTTACCAAAAAAAAAAAAAAAAGTCTGAGCTTTTACATGACAATCACTTCTTTATTTTGTCCTAATTTGTGAAGTATATTTTTGTTGGATACTCTAAGTGGACAGTTAGTTTCTCTCCGCAACTCTAGCCTGTCTTACATCATTACTGTTGAGATGCCAGGTAGTGAGGTGTCTTCACCTCAGTGACATTGAAGGCATTTTTTCTGGCTGGTTGTTTTTAAGATCTTCTCCTTTGGTATTCTATATTTTTGTTTGTTTGGTTTGGTTTTTTTGCCGTGGTGCATCTAATTATGTGTTTTTATTTTTCCTGAATAGAATTCATTGGAATCCCTATACGTATGGATTTTGGAGAGGGGCAGGGCACCTTACCAGTTTTGGAAAATTCTCAGTCATTAACTCTTCCCATACTGCCTTCTCCCCATTTTTCTCTTTTCCTCCTGAATTTCACCTAGCCATGTTAGATCTCTTGTGCAGTATTTTAACATCTCATGTTGGCTCAATTTCTCAGTTACATATAACTCCTCAAAACTGTCTTCAAGCTCCCTAAATTCTCTCTTCTACTGTATCTAATATACTATTAAACCTATGTATCCAATGAATTTTGTATTTTATTATACTTTTCATTTCTATGACGTTTTTAAGATTTCATTTCAGAGAAGGAACATGAGCAGGGGGAGGGGTAGATGGAAAAGAAGATGGAGAGAATCTCAGGCAGACTCTGCACTAAGCACGAAGCCTGACACAGGGCTTGATCTCACGACCCTGAGATCATGACCTGAGCTGAAACCAAGAATCAGACACTTAACCAACTGAGCCACCCAGGTGCCCCTCTGGGATTTTTATTTAGTTATCAGTGTACTTGGTCGTTTTTTATAATAACCTGCTTTTTTCACTTTTCAGAACCTTTTAAGTTTTTGCAAACATTTTAAATGTACTTCCTATTGTGTGCTAACAAATCCAATATCTGAAATCTTGGTAGATCTAAATAAGGTATCTGACTCTGTGTCTACTCCTGCTTATTCTTGGTACTTGGTTTAGTTGTATATTTTGGTTTTTTTGTTTGCTTGTTTTTTTGTTTTTTGCTTTTTTACTGTCAGCTTAACTATCTTGGACTTTATTTCTGGGAATTCTTTGGGGGTGAAAATAGGTCCTTTCAAGGATGAGTTATATTTGATTCTGAAGATGCTAGAAGTATAAGGCGGGGATCACACTAAGTTCTAGACATTGAGCTTGGACCACTCAGATGAAATAAAGTTGGGTTGCAAACCCACGTGAGGGCTTGATTAGTGTTAAACATTATCAGAGAAATTGCCCTCATCCTACTTAGCACTGAGTTTTGAAACAAGCAGTTTGCCCTATAGTCTGCGAAAGGGGAGTATTCCTCGTTCATCCTAGATTGCTTGTCTTAGCTTTTGGGGTTCCAGACTTACGTGGGGGTGGTGTCAGTCTACATGTGACAGCCTTCACCAGACTGTTGTACCAGGGAGTGAGGAGTAAAAACTATCCATAATGCATGTTCTGATTCTGAACTGGTAATAAAAGCCTGAAGAATTTTCACACAGTTTTAGGTGACACTGGGGAACTACTTCTAGAACAGAAATATGAGGATATCTGTGAACTGCTTCCCCAGTGAAACCACCATAACTGGTGAAAATTATAAAAGTTGACCACTTAAAATCTCTAGTTGTCGTCCTAAAAACATACACAGATGGAGAGGCATTCTGACAAATGTTCTGGCAAAGGAAAAAAGACAATGATTACCTTTGATTTTTATAAGTTACATTTGACTGTTAAAAATGTTAAAGTAGCACATAAAAGAATAGAAATAGTATATATTACCTTCAGAGTAGTAGAGGAGAAAATGGAATGTGAACAGAGTAATAATAACAGTCCTAAAGGAAGGCAAGAAGAGGGAAAATGACAGGACATATTGCACACTTAAAATGTGTGTGCTGAAATACTGAAAGACTATTAAATTGTTAGGCTATAGTTTTTGAAACCTGTGTATATATTCATTATAAGAGATACAGCTGAAATACAGACAGAAAAAAGCAAAACCATAACAAAAGAGACATTTTAAATAACCAAATCCAGTGCTTTTCTTTTTTTAACATCATACAAAAGACTTGAAGGTAAAAGTAGAAATAAGAAGATCACCACACAAAGTTTATTGTACCAGAAAATAGAATAATTTACAAACGTCTATGCACGTAGAAACAAAGCTAGCTTCAAGGTATATTCCAAAACATTTCCACATTTACCTGGAGAAACTGATTTTACCACAGTGGAAGATTTTCACAGGCTTCTCTCAGTAACGGACAGCTCAGGCAAACCAAAAAAAAAAAAAAAAACAAAAAAAACCTTAAAGGTAAATGTTCCTGATTTTAAAATTTTATTAAGAGCATATTATGAATAATTTTATACGCCTATAAATCTGATAAGTATACAAGTTCCTAGAAAGCTATGACTTAATAAAACCGGTTAAAGCAGTTGAACAATCCTATTTATTAAAGAAATGTAATCTGTATTTTAGAACCATCCCATGAAGAAATACCAAGTCCACATCATTTTTACTGGCATATTTTCCCAGACATTTAAGTTATAAGTAATATCAAACTTGCACAATTTATTCCAGAAAATGCAGAGATAAAGGCACTCTCTGAGTCATTTTATGAGGTTAGCAAAAGCTTATTAGCACAACTAAAGACAGCACAAGAAGAGAAAATAAATGCCCATCTTATTCATGTTCATAGGTAAAAAAATCCTGAACAAGATATTATCACATAGTAAAGCCAAGGAGCCACTGTTCTTTTTGGGGTGTAATAATGGTTTGGAGACTTTAAAGACAACATCCACAATTCTTAGAGCTGCGTACTGAAGTACATAGAGGTGAGACAACATATGGTGTGAAATTATGCCTTAAAATAGAGGAAGTTGCTTCTCAGATATTGTATAGACCCGAGTTTACAGGAGTCTGTCATGTTATTGTCTCTCGTGTGTGTTTTTGAAATGTTTTCTAATACAAAAGGATGAAAACATTGGATTATATATCATTTTCTTTTTAATAAAAAGAAAGAAAACACATTATGAGGTGTCAGAAGCTAATGCCATGTGTGGACGGAAATGTGACAAGGCGGGGAATTCATTTTTTAGGCATTTGATCCGGGCTCATCCGGAAGGGCTCCCAAGCAGGGTGCATTTCAAGCAATGCTCTGTATGTGGCTTCTGAAGGCAGAACAAGGATGAGCTCCATCTGAGCCGGAACATTCCAGAAGGATGGATAAAGTTCCGGGCCATCCTAGATTTCACAGCCAGAAATGGACCAGGTGCTGCTTTTAGCACTGGCTGAAGTTCAGTTTAGCTTTTACCCTCCGTCGCCAGGATGAAGGGAAGTGATATCCGTGGAAAAAGTCGGCAGAGTGTAAAGCAAACAGCTGTACAGCAACGTAAGATACTTGAAATACTATTTGCAGAAGCCATTGTCAGTGCAGCAGGGACAGGGAGTGCAGCTGCTCCAGAGAACAGTCTGGCAGTTCCTCAAAAGGTCAAGCATAACTTCATCCTATGGCCCCGCAATCCCCCTCCTGGGTGTGTGTAGAGATGAAGATCCAGATACACACACTCAGGAGAAAAGACAACATACGGCTACAGGACCGCTCGTTCGCGGGTGCTCCCAGCGTCATCGTTCATACGGCCCCAAAGTCGACACGTACACTCTCCGCCCGGTGAGCGGGTCAGCCGGTAACAGCGTTTCCGTACAGCGGGGTGTTACTCAGCAGTCAGAACGGGGCTCAAGCTCCGCGACTCGTGCCGTGCGGACGGACCTTGGGAACGTTCTGCTATGAAGGAAGCGGTCAGAAAAGATCACGATTTGTATGATTCCCGTTATGTGAAGTTATCCAGGCGAAGCAAACCCAGAGACAGGGAGAGACGAGTGGGGGCCCGTGTCGGCAGGGGGGAGTGGGGAATGCGTGCTAAGGGGGTTGGGTTTCTTTGGGGGTGAGAACATTCTGCTAGGTGGTGGCGCTGGCCACATACCCCTGCGGACAGATGAAAACCCATGAACTGTGCACTGGAGCAGGATAAATAAGTCTGCTAACCTAAAAGGTGGGGGGAGGGTGGGTAGTTAAGAGAGAGACAGTTTGGGGCAAAGTGGTTTCGTCTCCTACCCCTCCTCACCCTGTCACCACCACCACCTGGGCCCTAAAGTCTTCTGTCAAACTCAGGAAGATGTTTTTTTTTTTTTTTTTTTTTCGAAATTTCACTGAGGAAGGAAAAAGCTGAGTCTGAAGCAGAAACAGTGAGAAAAACAGTGAGAAAGCCAAGAAGTGTCACTTACCAACCCCCCCGTGCCCCCACCCCACGTGCTGGTCCCTGGTGAACCTGGGTAAGTCCCCAGCCTGGAGGACGGAGGCTCCTCCTGCAGCTAATGGGGCTTGCCCCAGAAGACAGCCGCCCCCTCGCAGACTCACCCGGCCCACAAGCGTGGAGCTCACCCACCGACGGGCCAGAGCTGTGACGGCCTCTTCTAATCACCAAACCTCACGGTCGGAGCAGCCACGAGCGCGGTCCCGCACGTCTTTCATGGCAGTGCTCCGTCCGCGACGGTGAGGGCCATCACCTTCCAGGCCGGCTGGCTTCCACTCACCTTGTGCTTTCTCTCCCCGTTTCCCTGTCTTGTGTTGTGTTTCAGTGGCGGCTTCAACCCCCAACTCCACTGCTGGTGCAGCCATGAATTCTCTGACCTCTCTTGGGACTCTGCAAGGACTGGCGGGAGCCACTGTCGGACTGAATAATATTAATGCACTAGCAGGTACCATAAACAGTGAGTATTTGCTGCTCTGGTGGACAGCCTTCCCCCAAATTCTCCCCAGCGAATGGTCAGCCAGTAATGACCTGCAAAGGAGAGGGAACGGGAAGAACTAAAACTTGGGATGGAGGAGCGCATGCCGTTCCAGGCAAATGCTGACTGTGCTCACTTTGCCTCCAAAACCAGCCCCCCTCCCCGCCTGGTCTCCCAGTGTGGATCCATCCATAGGCGCCTGGGGCTGACAGAGAGGTGCAGGTTTCACAGCAGGGTGGTTTGGGTTTTGCTGTGGTCTCTTCTTCTGAGAGGCAGTGTGTTTTATTAGAAAAATGAACTAGAAGTCAGGACGCATGGGTCCAGTTCCCAAAACTGCAAAACTCCTGAGCAAACACCGGCCCACCCACCCCAGGTTTCAGAGTCCCACCTGAAAACTGAAAGTTCTGGATTAGATGATCTCCTTGGTGTCCTCTTGCTCTAAAGATCTATGACATATATAGAGAAGGAAAAGCGAGGCCCTGGAAAGAAGGAAATAGAGAGGAGTGTGGAGCCCCGCCGGCCACACCCCCAGACAGGACTCTCTCCGCAGCACCTCCCTCTCTGAAGAGAATGTCACCATAGCATGGCAGAGCCGGGCAGCTGACGTACAGAATCCCTTCAGCCTGAAAGCTAGGGACTCAGTGAGGAACTCCAGGTTCTGTCCTGCACGGCTTGCCCATTTCTGCCATTTTGGATCTTAGGAGGGTTTGGGGGGTGTGTTGGAACAGGCCCCAGACAGAGAATAAGTCCTATTTTAGCCTTGTGCTTGGCACTGGCTCCTACAGTGGGGGAAAGTGATCCTCTGCCCACAGAGAGGGACTTTTGCCTTTCCCTCAGTTCAGTCCTGAGCTGGGAGTAGCCCAGCCTAGGAGAGCCCGAAGAGATTCTGATTTGGGGGCCCAGTGACTTACCATGCAGCCCGGGCAACCCAATGGCTGCCCACTTTCAGCTTTCAGAAAGGGGTCACCGTCTTTCAGAAAGGGGTCCTTGGCAAGTTGGTTTCAGCCATGATCCTAGCAGGGAACAGTTTTTAAGAAGTGATCAGATGGTACACTTTCTTAAAAACAAGAAAACCCCAATGATTATATACTTTAAAATCTCAAAAAGAATGCCTTGTAGTTTATTGAAAAAAAAAATCTAGAACTTAACAGATTTTCAAGTTTTATTAAACTCTTTTATTCAGATGCTCTGGGAAAAACAGAAAGTGGGATTGAGTTTTATCAGACCATAGGCCAAAAACAAGAAAAAGATGATTCCTTCCAGATGGGACAGTCTTGATTAGCAAATAGTACATGAAGTGGGAACCATGTGACAACAGAATGTTTTATTCCAGTAAAACTGCCTCCAGCTCCCCAGTTTCCAGCGGCCCAGGAGGAGCCCTCACTGCCTTGACTCCTGTTTCTGACCTTGTTCTGCAGACGCTCCAACCCACTTCCTTCCCCTCGGCTGCAGACAAGTGTGTTTGCCCACACCCCTTCATGCTGCTTCTCTTGCCCCAGGACCTAGTTCCCCTAAAACAAGGACTTTGATTTGATCGCCTGCCTGTCCTGTCCTTGGTCTGCAAAGTAACAGGCCAGTGGGAATGGCTGTCCTCCTCAGCACGTGCTCATGACTGCTGTGTGCTGTCCTCCTGTCTGTGTGGTCCTGTCTCTCTCCATCCCAGTCTCTGGTGCTTTGCTGGTGTTTCCCGTCGGTGCCATGAGGGACTAGAGAGGGGCTCTGTTGAAAGGCCGAGAAACCAGGACTAGTTCTTGCGTGGGCTCTACATCACACCAGTTTTGCTTCTGGCAAGGACAAAAGGCTTAAATTTTGTTTTCTAAATTTTTTGCGATTGGGGCACAGTAAGTACGGAGAGCTGACGGGGAATGGAGACGGTGTGTCATTTCAGATAGCCCCTATGGGAGGGTGTGACCCCGGAAAATGTTTAATTGCTCATTTACGAAAATCACAAACAAAACGACATTCCTTCTGATTTGGTAAATGTTACTAGCACAGAGCTGTTTAACAAGCCCAACATTGGCTCAGAGCTGGTATTTATTTTCTCAACTACCAAGAGGAATCTGAAATACATAGAGGATCCTCTTTCAGGCCGTTCTGCCTGAACGCCATCATGCTGTCGGTCCCACTGGATGATTCTCAAGGTACTCGAGAGGTCACCGGAACAGAGGGAGCTCCTAAAATAGTTGGCCACAGCTTCCATATCACTGCTGTTTCCTACCCTACTCCATCCCAGGAACAATGACTCGCTACTGAGAGAAATCTCTGGTTGTCCAAATAGAGCCACCTCTTTCCCATGGACAAAGGAGCCAGGAAGAATGTAGGCAGATGGAATCCAATTAATTCCCAATTAGCTCATCTTTATGTAAATGTTACTACGCTCTTCACTGCCAAAGGGCCCCTCTCCTCCTCCCAAAATAAAGTTTTAGCTAGAAGACAAGTAACTCAGTTAAACTCAAATTCGATATCCCATTTCTCCCCTTATATATTCATGAATGGAGGGGCTAAAAAAAGTAGAGTGGAAGCCTAAAGCTAAAAGCAAAAGTTGTCAAGATCAGAAGTAAGGCGTATGGGTGACTCCCTAACACAGCTTTCAGTTCTGGATTATCTGAGGGTTCCCCAGACATGCTGTGTATCTAAGACATGTTTTGTACATCTGAACTAAGACAAAATATTTTTTGCAGATATGTCCACTCAAGAGTCCGTATCTAACTTTATGTGTTGAAATACAGGTCAGGTGATGTACTTGTTTTTCCTTGTTCAGATCACATCGTTTTTCCAAATGGCTTACCACATAGTGCTTAAAATTAGGACTGTCAGAATATAACCAGCACTTGGTGAATAGTGCTCATGGAAATAGAGTTGACCTTGAACAACACAGGTTTGAACTGTGCAGCTCCACTGATAGGCAGATTTTTTTTTTTTTTTCAATTAAAAAGGTGAACAGAAAATGCACCTGACCTGGATGATTTAAAAAGGGGCGGGGAGAGTACTGGAGAGGAAGGGAGTCAGGGGCCCCGGTGACCTCTTCAATGAAACACCAGCCGTGTGTCTGGTCTCCAGTGAAGCTGCAAAGCCCAGGGAGGCACACTCCTAAGGCTCCTACGTGGCAGGGGCTGCAAACAGCCAGGCCCTTAGCCGACAAGGTTCTAGAGACATGGAGCTCCATTCCGTGCTGGCGGCCGAGCGCCCATCTTCAGCAGTGCCCCGAGCAGCTCCGTAGGCTGCGATGCACACCTAGACTCTCACGCCGCGGGGTATAAGTAGAGTGGCAAGGCCCCGCTCACTCTCCCGCTAGAATTCCTTCCTGCGCAGGGATCCGGCTTCCCATCGCCGAGCCCCATGGCGTGCTGGTCTGTGTCCCCAGCACCTGCGCACAGCCCGGCGGTAACGAAACCAACAGCACTGAACTGTGCCGGGCTCTCCAGACTCACCGTACACCCTCCCCTCCCTAGAAAAGAACAAGGCTGTTTCTTTGCATTCACACAAATACTGGGAGATGAGGCTAAGACTGAAAGGAGAAAAGCGAAGTTACTCCCCACCCTTCAGCAGCCCTAAGAACACCAGGCTGGAGGAGGAGAGAGGCCTGAGCGGGGTAAATGGGATTAGCTGGTGTCTGGGGGACTGTTTAATTAGGACACACTGGGGCAAGCTCTTTAAGAGCATTTATTGGGGTGAGCGCAGACTCCTTCGCAGTTAAACGTGAAGCAGAGTCCCCAGGACCTCTGCCGGCCGGCACCTCGTCAGTTTATTGCGTGTCTGCTGGATCTGCCCGCAGGGATTCGGGTTTCAAGAGGCCCGTCCTTCCATTCTCCTGTCCTTCAGCCGCTCACCCCCGGGGCCGCGCGGGGTAACTTCATCCAGTGCCCGCTCCTGTCCCCGCAAGCCCCCAGGAAGAAAACCGGGCCTGAGGCCCGACGCGTTTCCTCTGCTCTTAGGCCTCTTGTATGTATGTAGCCCTTCCAGCCTGAGGGAGGGAGGTCTCCGAGCGACAGAGGGACGCTGAGAGGAAGCAGAACCCCCACCCGCTCCCTGGTCTGGGGCGGGCGCCCAGGTGACCCGGGTTGGATTCCTCCGATCATTTCGAAGCGAGCTCATCTGGTTCCTCGACCCTCGTTAGGCTTCTGGCCGGGTTTTGTTTTTCACTTAGTCGGGTTTTGTGTTTCCCTTAGTCATCTTTGCTATCTTAATAGCCCTAATCAGTTGCCCTGATCCATTCAAGAGTTTCCTTCCTGTTTTCAGTGAGTTCTTCCCAGAGTCGGATCTCTTTTGGAAATGTTTTAATCGTAAGGGCAACTGAAGGCAATGATGTCCCCGCTTCCATTTGCTGAGCTCCTCGGAAGGTCCGCACTCTGTAAAGTGCTGCTTGTTCGGACCCGACTCGGGGCACCGTCAGCAACCATTCTAGAGCCAGAGAGCAGCCAGGCGACAGGAAGAAACCTCAGCGTGCTGGCCAGCAGCTCCCCCGCGGGAATGGCCGCGAGCCGGTTACCTGGAACACACGGTCGGGGCACGGGCTGGTAGCGGCACGTGTCTGCTGCTGCCGCCCTTGGCCCCGTGCTGTTTTGAGCCTCTCCTGCAGTTAGGGTCCGGTCCCCATTTTGTCCTGTGCCTTCACGGCTTCGGCTAGACGATGCTTCCGAAGGGCCTAGTCTCAGGCGCCCTCCCTCAGCTGTTTGAGGGCCGGCGGGGCAGTGGCCGCGCACGGGCTCCCTGGGGACAGAGCTGCCTCCGGGACCCTCTCATCCGCCTGCTGAGAGAGCGCTTCTGTCCCTTTCTCCGCGAAGCCCCGAGCCGTCCCATGGCTCCTCCAAGCGCCCAGGGAACGGACGTAGGTGCCCGGCTGTTCGCAGCCCGCCCCGCACGTCCTCGTCCACGCAGGGGCACGGCCCCGAGAGACCTTCCTTTGAGAAGGACGCGCGTTCTTGCCAGTAGCAGCGTGCATGGAACCGCCGTGTGCCGTCTCGCTGTCGCGCCTCGTGCCGTCTGCTCGCCGGCCTCGGGAGGGGCGGCGTCCGCGCGCAGGGGTTTCTCGGGTCCTGTTGTGTGTTCTCCGTTGTGACGACCCGTCACGTCGCAGTCGCGTCTTCACGTCGCGTCGGGCTGTCGCTGTGCTGGCTGCATGCACTTGCTGTTGTACTTGTGTCAAATGACTCTCTGACCTCCTTCGGAAAGCACTAATGAAAAGTGCTATTTCTCTTCTCTATTGTTGGGTTTTTTGTAAAGTTGCTCAAATGCTCTCAGGTATGGCGGCTCTGAACGGAGGACTTGGCGCCACGGGCTTGACGAATGGCACGGCGGGCACCATGGACGCCCTCACGCAGGCCTACTCAGGGATCCAGCAGTACGCGGCCGCGGCGCTGCCCACGCTGTACAGCCAGAGCCTGCTGCAGCAGCAGAGCGCCGCGGGCAGCCAGAAGGAAGGTGGGTGCCTGCCCGGCCCGGGGGGCGGAGGACCCTCGAGCGCGCCCGCGAGGCCGAAGAGGAAGCCAGTGGCTCAGTCCCGCTCTTCCCGGGCTGGGTTCTCCTGGCTTGTTTCTGTCGAGAGACCCCACACGGCTCAGCCAGCGGTCGGCATCGCCGCCTCTCCTCGGACTTGAACTTGTTTTATCTCGCCACGGTCCGCGAGTCTCTTAATTTACCTCCCCAGACGTGTTTGTCCCGCACTGCGAGCTTCCGCGCAGTTACTAGTGGCCGCTGCCCCTAAAGCCTGCCGGGAGCCCCCGCCCGGGTCAGCAGGGCCCGTCCCTGACGCCTCCCCTGCCGCATCAAGCCGGGGTCTCCCCAGGCATGTCATGTCGCAGGGAGCTCGGCGTCCCGCCGCCCTGCCGCCGGCTGGCTGGCCTCTTGGCAGGCGACGGCGGCGGGGTAAGGACGGACTCCCCCGGCAGGATCAGGGGGGTCTGTGGAATCGGGGGTCTCCTGAGGAAGAGAGTGCGTGACTGATGGGCTTCTCTGCCTATGAGGCAGAGTGAGTCTCAGGAGGTTAAGGCTAAGAATAAATTCAAGCTAATTATAAAACAGTTAATGAGCCAGTCCGAAGAGGGAGAGCATGTCTTTTCCTTTCTTGCTTTTGGTCTCTTCTCCTTAGTAGAAATTGCTCTAAAGCAAACTCTGCCACATGGTATTTTTTCTCTTCCGCACCTGCTGGGAGTGTGGCAGAAGAGGCTAGAAGAGGAAGTACGGCTGAGGAGCTTTTTACAAATTTCTTTCCCTTCTTTCCCTTCACCTTACACTTCCAAAATGTTCTTGTCTGCATACTTTAAATACGGTGTTCTAGAGGAATAGAATATTTTAACTTTAAGTTGTGAACTTTAAAAGGGACAAGAGCTTTAAAGATACTCTTGTAAAGCAAAAAAGTCTTGCTTCCATTTGTAAATAAGGGATCGTTAAAAATGAAAGATACATGAAAATCTAAATTCTTCATTATTTCAACTTTCTCTTTACTCCTCGCTGTGACGGCTACTGTAGATTTTTTAAAACCCTGTACAGATCCTCAGGCAACTGTGTTTCCCCAAGCATGTGAGACCCTAAGTAAGTCCTAAATCCCATGCCTTCCTGAGGGAACACCTGCACGGAGGTCCCTCCGTCTGGGGTCTGACTACCGTGGTGACTGTGGCAGGAGGGGGATCTGTGACAGGATATTCTTAACAGAGAGCATAAAAGCCAGTTCCCTACAGGATTCTTAAAGAATGCTGGCCACTTCACTGTCCAGCAGAGCCTGGGCACAGGCGACGTGACTGTCGCTGAGAAACACCAGCCACCAGCGGAGTCGCCGTGCACTGGTGCAAGGATGAAGTGTGGGCCCTGAGACGACTTTTCTCTGCTGCTTCACCGCAGCCCACCGCCCCACATTTCCATGCCCTGACTTTGGGGGATTGCCTGTGCAGGAGCTAACCCTCTAGGATTCATGTGAATAACGGGGCCAGCCCAGGATCACTGACATTTAAGTGTTGGGGCTACCAGCAGCATGGTTTAGTTTTGATTTTTGTGTGTGTGTGTGGTGGTGGTATTTTTGGTTTAGCAATTTTAATCATCTCCCACCTTCTCATACCTGTCTTCTGATCACCTTTCACCCAGTTGTGTGCTCAAGAAATTTAAACTTAGTATCAGTTAACCACAATACAATTTTCAAAGCAGGTTATACTGGGAAGGGGAAAAAAAAATGAATTCCACAGCTAAACAGATTTTTAGATTTTCTGCTCCACAGTTTTATCCTTTAGTTAAGAGAGCTGAAAGTCAGGTTGATGCACTTAGTCATGTACCCTAGTATGTATTTTCCCACAGGAAAATGAGCCGGGCTGGCTTTGGTGGTGGTATTTTAAAGCAGCTTTGATACGTTCCCCAGCTAAAGGGTTATGGCATCCCTATTGACCTCAATCCAGAAAAGCTGACCACCTTTCCTGTCACTCCTGAATAGCCTCTGATCTCTAATTGATTTGCGGGAGGCAGTCACGCACACACAAGTAGGCAGAGCCTCAGGAAGGCCACCAAGCAGTGGGGGGGGGGGGGCGGGGGGGGGGGTGCTGGCCATTGGCCACAGATACCCCAGTACTCTATGCTAGACCTGGTGCCCTATGGGAAATGGGAGCACCCAGCCAGCTGGGACCAACACTCTAACAGAGAACTCCAGTAAGTTAAAATGACAGGTACTGGGAGAGATCCGAGGAATGCATATTTGTCAGCAGGTTCTTACTAAAGGGAAGGCTGAGGCGGACACATAGGTGAGCCCCTCAAAAACGTGTTCTTGTGTTTCTACCCTTGGTGTCTGTTGCAGCAGCCGCCTTCATTGCACAGAAGAGAGGTTCTCCACATCGAGTCACCTTTTTCTCATTTTAGTGTTCACAATTTTGGCAGTTTGCAAAATCATACTCTTTCTGTGTGATGAAAACTGGGGGGTCTACGCTAGGAGATGCTGGTGGCACTTTTACCTGAGAAAATGGTGAACAGAGGACAGAGTCTCCTTAGATTGACCTTTTCCCTATTTTCTTGGCCCCCCTATGTGGCACAGATACAATCGGAACGCACGACATTCCAGAATGCAAGAACTATCCAGGTGTAGCCAGTAATCTGACAGAGTGCATTAAATTGCATTTTCTCCCCAGGCTGCAGGAGTTGAGAGTGGTCCCATAAATCCTCATTTGTACATGTGGATCTTTTATTGAGAAGGAACACGCAATCTGGGTGGTGCCAGATTTGCCCGGTACATACTGCGGAAGCCGGGCCTGGCCCAGTGGGGCTCTGTACAACCCTTTCCGGTGTTTCAGTTTTGCACCTGTTCATATTAAGTGATTTTTTTAAGAATTTTTTTTAAAGAGTTTATTTTTGACAGACAGAGATCACAAGTAGGCAGAGAGGCAGGCAGAGAGAGAGAGGAGGAAGCAGGCTCCCTACTGAGCAGAGAGCCCAACGTGGGGCTCAATCCCAGGACCCTGAAATCATGACCTGAGCCGAAGGCAGAGGCTTTAACCCACTAAGCCACCCAGGCGCCCCTTAAGAATTTTTTTTAAACCAGGAAACATTTGGGGACCTAAGACCTGCAACTGTGTCCCTTGAATTACAGACTGCCTCCTTGGCACTAGAATGTGGGTATGTCCATGGGAATTGTGAGCAACACACAAAGTTAAAGTGGTCAGGTTAACCGAGAAATGCTTCATTTCTGTGGCTTCAGAAGTTTGCCGCCAGAAGACCTCCTCAGGAAAAGTCCCACACGTTTGTGGGAAGAAACTTGGTTTGACTCTTGTTTACAAAGATGCTTCCTCTCTTTTATTTTTACAAAGTTATTCTTACCCTAGCTTTACTCTTCTTAGACCCAAATATTAGCCACCACACTCAGCCCTGCAGGAACGCAGTGCAGGTGCTCCCTGGGCTGCCCTGGCTCCTCCCCCGGAGGCCAGTTAAGGGTGCAGGAGTCCACTGCCAAGGTTGCTTCACCAGTTTCGGGAGCCCCCTTCCCTCCCAGAACGCTGAACATCCAAGAGACATCCAGCCCTGGGGCCTCCCCAGGCCAGCGGTGGGGGGGGACGATCTGTAACGACCCCAGGCAGCCTTGGACCTGGCAAGTTGGATGATCACCTTGCATCAGGTCATTCAGATTCCCTCCTTTTCACCTTGAGATGGCTCCGTGCAGGTGGCTAGAGAGAGGGGAATGAGATGGGCAGACGAGGAGGAGAGCTGACCTCTCTAACCAGTGTAGCTAAGAGGACCTTCCGTACTCTGCCCTTTCTTCCTCTTTCTCTGGAAGGTGATGGCTGAGCGTGAAAAGCATGGCTGAGCCTGGTCTCTGACTAGCTTCTGTACCTCATGCGTTCATTTCCAAGGCTAATCCCCAGGGGTATAATTCCTATCACAGCTGTGAAACTCTAACGACCTATTTTTTCCTGCCTTGACTCACTGCCAGTCATTTCTAATAAAAATGATTATTAGACTGTGTGTTAAGAGATTTGGCAAATCAAAACTGAATGGATAATTAGGTAAATGATTGAGAAATCCAAGCAACATTACTGCTATACCCATTATTCTAAATTGCTACAGTTTGCTAGAATACGCAGGATACTCTCAGCTCCAAGAGGTCGTATATACACATACCACCACAAAACACAGCCACCCGGGAAAAACCCAGTCCTGCATTCTCCTTCCCACCTCTACCCCACGGGGGCCACCCTCACCCCCATGAAGAAGACACTGGACACTAAGCAAATGTGAGCCACAGAAGATGATCCCTGAAAAGACCCTGTTGCTGACCAGTGTCTTTGGAAATCAGGAACATCTGAGGGATGATTCCTGTCTTGAAAGACATCCCAGCACTTGACATTTACCCATCTATCTCCTTCCCTTCTAGTATGAGAGAGAAAGGCAATGCTTAGCCTGATATTAAAGCAATCCTAAGAAGAGGCCTTGGGAACTAAGAAGCGAAGAATACCTTACTCTGATTTTTTTTTCCTCTTTAGGTCCAGAGGGTGCAAACCTCTTTATTTACCACCTTCCACAGGAGTTTGGAGACCAGGACATTCTGCAGATGTTCATGCCTTTTGGAAATGTTATCTCTGCTAAAGTCTTCATTGACAAACAGACCAATCTGAGCAAGTGCTTTGGTATGCAAAAGAAACCAAGCCAGAATGTTACAGTAAATTCCCACATGAGGAGGCACGGGAAGGAAAACGTAAATGGCAAATATTCGAGAAGTCCAGATAGGGCCTTCCCTGGGTGGTGCTGTTTCTTGGCTTTTTGGATCCATGTGAGCAGATCGGGCAAAGTCATTTAATCCAAAGCAGAGGAAGGGGCTATAGAAAGGAAGCATCTGGGAAACGACAGTAAATGCCCGTGCGTTAGGTAGCGTTGTGTGCTGTGCTACTAGCGTCAGACTATGTGCATCCACTTCTCTCTCACTAGAGAGCAGCACTGGTTTCTTCAGGCCCCACAGCTGGAACCACAAACCTGAGCAGGTGGAGATACAGCCAACAGATGGAGGTGGTTTGGGCTGCCCTGCTACAGGGCGGCACTGCAGACACTTTGCCCCGGATGCCGTAGCCTTCTATGTTCGGGAGGCGTCAGGCATTTGTGGAATCAGGTAGCATGTTGTACGGGGAGGCTGCCCGCACTCTCACAAACCTTCAGTGAGACCCGTCCCTTCACAGCAGGGGTGTAGCCAGGCCACCCTCAGCACTGCAGATATCCCCCTACCCGGAGCACAGGACAGGGAGCTGGTGTCTGTCACGGTCCCGTGGAATGCTGTGTTATGCTGATTCGGGAGCCGGGATTTGGGCTGATGAGCTCTGCACAGCCTGCCCGAGTGGACGGAGAGCCCAGGAAATGCAGGCATTCAGAGAACGCTGGAAAAACCCAGCTCCTCCGTGGCCTAGGCTGTCATGCCCTCTCTCCTCACACAGCCCGGACTCTGCCTCCTGAGGCAGTCTGTGCTCCCCGGGAAGGCACACTCTCTGCCTGCCCTCATGTTTTAGAAGCAGGTGCACAGAGCATTCGTTAAATCTATTTCTTGTTTTGCATTTTGAACCCCTTTAGTCTCCAAAGTGGTTTAGAGGCTAGACTGTTCAGATTATAGATTACCTGCCTGGCAAGTTCTGGGCCAGTCTGAGATCGAACATTTGCCTTCCTCCTTCCTCCAATCTAGTAATTCATGTAGGTGGTAGGCCGTAACAGCACGAAACAGTGCAACAGATGCGGACCGGAGGAAGGACAAAGAGAACTAAACGCGGTGGAGAAAAACATCAAAGGTGGTAGGAATGGTACTCAAACATAGCATCTGGCTACTGGTAATGGGCACTGGGTGTAAAGAGAATGTTTTGGCTTCTAAAACCCCGTTATCGTCATGTCTTTCTAATCTCTGTGCCATCACCCGGGAAGGTCGGAAGCCTCTATTGTTAGGGGAATTAGTATGTCTGCCACTGAAAGTCAGTTTTTACCCAACTGGAAAGGCTGTCTCCACTGTCACAGCTATGACAAGCGCATACTCCCCTCCCCCGTGATGGTTCACCAACGAGTGAAATGGAAAGGGAGCTGTTCCCCTGGGGGGGGGTGTGCACCCGGTGGGAGCTTACCATGCCGAGCTGCCCTGCGTGAGGTTCTGGGCCAGACTTTTACTCATCGCTAAGCAATGCCCTGGGCTTATCTGGAGATTGGAAAGGGGCTGTGCTTCAGGGTCTGATTTTGAGAAAAATACTTAGTGCCTTGAAAAGAGATGATATCGGTCCACACACCACTCCTCCAAGTGTAATAACGCAGGCTGCACCCAGGACTGTCAGCAACTGTATTTCGTACTCTGCGCTGTTTTCCGTTTTTATCAAAAGCTGCAGCATCCCAACCTACATTTCTCAGTGAGCCGGCCTAATCTGGGGGGGGGGGGTCCCCAGATTTGCTAGTCTTCGGTAGCCCATTCCTTCATGCTCACCTCTTGGCCAGCTTTCGTTACCCATTTCACCCTTGACCCATTTCCATTCTTTAATCATCTTGCTGCTTCTGGATAAAGACCTAGAAGGAAAGGAGAAAATCAGAGCCCAAATCTTGGATTTGAGAGCACACACACTGGGAATTAGATTTAGTAAAAATCTGTTCCGTTTTGCAGTTCAGCCTGCCGACGGAAAGCTTTTCTGCATTATACCATATGCTCATTTTTATCAGCTGAGAACTCTGCTAAAGATATACTGATGTCCTTTTCTTCCTCTAGTTTGTAAAGGATTTGCTCTTTAGCAGATAGGTGAAGAAGCTTAGTATAGAACCTTCTGAACAGTTGATGTTGAGAAGGGAAATTCACCCAGTGTAATCGCTTCAACACCAGAAGTAGGGACAGCACAACCTCAACCCCTAAACGTGGGCATTAACTGCAGAAAGCTGTGTGTCCCCTCCCACCCCACCCCCGGGTTAGAGCAGACTCTGCGATCAGAATTCTGTTTCTGGGTCTTTGCAGACCGTCACTGCTCTTTCTCAAAAGCATGCGCTCCCTGCCATTTTGGTGGTGTCAGTACAGAGAAAGGTACTGGGAAGTCTGTGAGGATGGCTCTTAATCCCTAAGCTGTTCAGACTCTTTATTCTAAGGGGGTATAAGGGCAGTTTCCAGTCTGCTGAATACAGTGGCACTTTGAAAATGGAAGTTGATATAATGAGAAAGGGCCAGCATTTCCCTTGGGTCCCTAGGTCCCTCTCAGAATTCCACAATGTTAAAAATCAAGTACAAATACCCTAGAGTTAATTCACTAACGGACCCCATCCGGCAGTCGAGCAGGTGTGGGCTGTGTGGGTGCAGGTGGAGAACTGGAATGAAAGCGTCTCTGCAGTGGGCGGTTACCAGCCCTGCATTTAAACTGCACCTGACTGGGACACACGAGCCCCTGGGGACCCTGCAAGCCCCAGAGTATCTATGCCTCCGCCTCTGGGAACACTTACTTAGGCACCAGGGGTTTTGTCAGAAGGATTCCAACACAAACAGACCTGACTGAGATCAGTAAACAGACCAGGAGTCAGAGAGTCTGAGATTTCGCTTTTCACAGAGGAGGGGTTTGCTCTCATGATCCCAAATTCCCAGTCCGACCAGCTTTGTTCACCGCTTCTCAGTGGACGTACCCAGGGGTGGCCGTAAAACACACCCCGCCCGTCCACAGCCGGCACCCCCAGAGAACTGAGCATGCTCCGAGCCCACAGGACGTGCCCACGATACCCCCCACGTACCCACCCCCCCCCCCGCCCCCCCCCCCCCCCCCGCCCAATAATGTCCTGCTCCTTCCCATCTACTCCCCTGCCTCTCCCTGGTGACCGCCGTGTCCTTCCCCTTGTGTCTTCCAGGCTTTGTTAGCTACGACAATCCGGTGTCCGCACAAGCTGCTATCCAGGCTATGAACGGCTTTCAGATTGGCATGAAACGCTTGAAGGTCCAGCTGAAGCGCTCCAAGAACGACAGCAAACCTTACTGATCCCAACCCCAGAGGCTCCCTGCTCTTATTTTAGCTTTCTTAGGGTAAGTCCCACAAGCCAGCCTGTTCTCAACAGGAAAGGCAGAGGAGGACCACATTGCCAACTTTTACCAAGAGAGACGGTTATTTTTACAATAAGGCCTCCATGTCCCCTCCCCATGCCCCCACCCAGTTCGCCATAATTAAAAACTTGGGCTACCTTGTTTCTATCGAGTAAAACTCCTCTTCCAGTTGTGCCACTGTATTTTCCTTTGTTTTGCAATTTGAATCTCCTTTTACCTTTTCTGTTTTGTTCTCATTTTTTGGCTTTTTTTTTTTTTTTTTAAAGAAAAACACACATGAATAAATGACATCTTGAGAGTTTAAAAAAGGCAAACAAAGGCTAACGTGCAATTCTAACTCTGAGACCCCTGGTGCCCCAGAGCACTGCCTGGAGAATTCACCCCTCCTGTCCGCGCCCACCCCCTAGGAGGGCGCCAACCGTTTAGAGGTTAAGGTGGTGGCATAGCACGAGAGAGAAGCCAGGAGAAGCACTTAAAACAATACAAACGTCTTTCCACTACATTTGGTTTGTTTTAACAAGTAGGATATTATTTTAGGGTTCAAAGAAACATGACATTTATCGGTCAGATTATTACACTGGTTGTCTATTTTGTTATTGTTTTATTTTAGTTTTTAGAAAGGATTAATGTAAAAAGATTTAGAGATCTGTTTCTTAAAGCTACAGGGTTTAAAAATAAAATAAAAATGAGTGAAAATACTTGATGTTTCTTGAAAGATAAATTTAATAATAAATAAATAATACATAAATACATAAATAAAAAAGAAAGCCACAGGCCTGTAAATTTTATTTGTAAAAAAAGCATTTCTATTTTTGTACAAAATTTTTACTGCCTCAGAAATAATGGAAGTTATTTATTGCCTATTGTTAACTTATTGGGTACCTAAAGAGCAGTTCTCTGTGCTAGCTAGAGCCTTTTGAAGTAGTCTCTAGAGGAATCGTTCTAGGAATGGGCTTTTTTTCACCGTTGAACCCTAGGCCTACAGTTCATGCTTTTCCCTCTTGTTGTTTGTATCTGTCTGACGATTTTGTTCGTAGCTTCCATGATCTATCTAGTTTATAGTTCGGTCGTCTGACTCTCCCCCATATGTCACATCCGTTGAAACTGGATCCTCCCCTCCCCCCGCCTTGTCCCTCCCCAGCCCCCACCCCCAAACTCCCGGAATCCATCCCCTCTCCTCCTCCGGATGGATTCTCTTGGGGTTCCATTGTGCTGTGGATAAATATCGTAAGAAATGCAAATTACGGGAATGGCTCGTAGACTCCCTGATGACCTAAGATTTGCATTAGTTTTTCTCCTGCACCCTTAAGAGTGATTTTGTTGCTGCTGCGTAGATTCTGTGTAACTTTTTACTCTCCCTTGTTTTCTCCCTAGACATCTTCATGCCCGTTAGTTCACCGTTTGCCTAGCATGTCCCTGTGGCGTCTCAAAAAAAAGTTTCATCGTCCCGTCATTGTTTCTGATGTCTTTCTGACCTCACATCACATTTGGTTCTCCTACTGACCTTTGATCTAGTTTGACCTTTGAAATTTGCATGTGACCTCATCTAGCTATGAATTCTGGGAAGTCAATGTGAAAAACATTGCTGCATTCATGCAAGACTGAAATTTATTATTAGACAAATTAATTATAGAAAAAAAACCTGTGGCAAAAACGTTTCTTTCTTATTTTTTTTTCTTTTCATAAAACAGACTTGAAAGTATTATACAGGGATTGGCATTCTTCCCGGTCACTGGTAACAATAGCAATATGTGTCCAGGGACACAGAATGTTGGTTTCTAACAGACTACTTCCAAAAACAGTTTGAGAAAAAAACTGTCTGATTTTAAGTCTCTAGAGGTCTGTAATAGTTTTTACATTTTTCAGGCAGTGTAAAGTTTTTTGATAAGGCCATTTTAGGTGGCTCACTTTCTCATTAAGATATATATATAGAACCACTTTTTGTAGATTAGTATAAGAAAAATATTTACCCTGTTTTGGGGCAAATGCTACCTATTTGTGTCACCTTTTGCTGAACTGACTCACAGTTAGACAATCCATGGTTTAATGCACATGAAATTACCTATATTTTATACTGTTTCAATGTACAGGAGAAAGGTTACTGTAAACTGTGTTATGTTGGTGCTTCTGTGAATTAAGTTGTGGTTTCAATCATGAGTCTTATGGTCTTAATGTTCTCTGTTGATAAGACAAGTTTAGAATTGGTTTACTTAAAGAATTTCAAAAAAAAAAAAAAGTTTGCTTAAAAAAAAAAATTTCATGTGAGGGGGGAAAAAAAAAAACCCTATTCCAGAATAAGTTTTGTGTTGGCTTGTAAAGCATTGATGTCATTTTTTTTTTTTTATTGTGGACTATTTAGATGTGTTTGTGTTCAGCAAAATGTGATTTTTTTTTTCTTTTAAAGAAAAAAAGTGAAAATATATAGTGCCAAATTCCAAAGGTACTTCCTTCCTAGAGCTTCAGTGTGTTTCTTGTGAGAAGTAATTTGATAACATGGGTATTTTATTATGTGTTTTGTATAAATCCCTAATATTTAAAAAACAAAAAACAAAAAAAAAGAGGTTAAAAAGTTTGTTAACTTGCTATCCTGTGGTCTTGTTGCCTGAAATTGTTATTGTTTGTTATTTCTCTATGATGTTTTTTGTAAGACATTGTATAAGTGCCCATGTCTCACTTTTTTAACCGCTCTGCACATCAATGCTGTGACGGCAACCTCACGATGTATTTCCTTCATAATATATGGAAACCTCTAAGGTGAGAAAGTTTTGAACTTCTAACCCTTTCTACCCAGAGCTGTCTGGAGCGTTGGTAACTTTTTATACCATTATCATTTTTGTTTGTTCCAGGGTGTTTCTAATTTGGATCCCTCTCCCCCCTCCCATACATCTTTGAGGTTTTGGGGTTTTTTGTTTTTGTTTTTGTTTTCTTTCTTACCTTTTTTACCTATTGGTTGAGATCCAAAAGAAACAAAACTCCACAAAGCAAATCCGAAGGGAAAAAAATATATTTTCACCATCTCTGTTTTTTGGGTTTTTTTCTCCCTACACCACTTTTTTTTCTTTTAGTTTTGATTATTTCTGGTCATTTAAAAAAAAAAAAAAAAAGAATGTGCTGTTGAAATTCCTTCTCTGGTTTTAATTAAAAACAGTTGATTGAATAAAACTTCTAAGGGGGACATTAGGTAGATTTAGATTCAGCACCTACATTAACCTTAAATTCTATATGCTTTTGAGATCAGGTGTAGGGGTATATTCTAGTTCAGAATATTTTCATATACCTTCCAGTTAAAAGACTTTGTGATGTAGTGTTTTGAGGGATTTTGTTTCTTAAATACTCTCAGTTAATGATGTTTCTAATCAGCCACTGTGCTGGGCATTCTCTGATCCCAGGAGATACTTCTGATTAAGCAAGGTGTCTGGGGTTAGAAGATGATAGTCCTTTCTTTTCCTGCCTTTTTATTAACTTTATTAATTGAAATCACTGAAAGGGGCCTGACCATCTAAGTCCAACTCTGTTCTTTGTCACAGTTACTGACCAAATACCTAGCACTAGCACCAGATCCTGCTGCCACTCTGTGAAGTGCCATATTACTTTGACTTCGACTTCACGTTGAACAGATCTCTTGCTGTCTTGACAAACCCCAGTGTCATCCCGGAAGCCCCAACACAAACTCCTGCCTTCTTGAAAGCAGGCCCTGGAAGCTTCTTTATCTCTAAAGGAGTTCAGAAACTGCTGGCTCCCTTTCCTTCCTCCTCCTCCCACTCACTACTCTGTTCAGTAATACGTGTATGGATGTGATAGCCCTGGGACGGAAAGGACTAGCCTCTAATGATGCAAAAAAAAAAAAAAAACACACAAAAAAAAACAAAAAAAATAAAAATAAAAAAAAAGACACAAAAACTAAACACAAAACAACAAGTTTCCTTCTTATAGCACATGCACTTACAATGAAATGATTTGTATTATCCTCACACGTGTTTACTACTGCTGGGGCCTTCCTTCATCCTTTGAGGGCTATTTTGTACTTCCTGCAGCCATCAGCTTAATGCCAGGAGTCCACGCACATCTCTCTCTCACACACAGCATAGGGTGGTTTGTGGACGCGCAGCACACAAGAGAACACCATCTGAATTTCCAGCTGTCCTCCTCTCATTCACCGGCATCTCCCCAAGAGGAGCCTGAGTGCCGGTGACAAGAGGCTCAGGATGGGCATTTCACATTGGGTGTTTCTTATTTTGCAGGTGACCAAAACAGTACATGTTGGGGGGAAAGTCAGGGTTTTTGTTTTTTTGGGTTTTTGGTTTTTTGTTTTTTTTTTTTTTTGGCATGTTTGCATTGTTTAAAAGCTGACCCTCCTCAGAGACAAATTGTCCTTTTACTCACTTTATCTTTTAATATCAAAAGGAAAAAAAGCTGCAAGGGTGCAAAGGGCCTGTGCCAGAAGGAAAAACACACAGGGAAACTGCTTTTTTTAAAATCAAGTGTAGAGAATAGTCGTTTTTACACTAAATTAGAGAATTGTGATAAAATGGCAGTCCTCAAAGGCGTAACAAGTTCATCTTTCTTTCACCATAGGGGTTATAGTTCTTTGGCTTGTGCTACTCTGGACTCATTTTACTGTTTGTTTTTATTATCTTAAGTGCTAATTAACAAGAAGAAATAAAATTTTAAAAAAACCTGTAGTTTCATTACCTTTTTGAATAATGTCATACAAAAAATGTATTTGTGTTTTTTTGTGCTGTGAGAATTGTTGTTTGTAGATTAATAATATCATTTTGTTTAGAATTACAAAATAGTTTTTAAATATTGTCTGAGAAAAGCCAAAGTTAATGCAACCTAGTGGAAACTGTAAGACCATTTGAGTATTGTTTGTTTTATTGATGCATTTGGATTTTGTTGTTTGATGGAATTTGAGCCAAAAAAAAAAAAAAAATACGCAGGCTTTCCTATTTCTACAACTGATTGTACTCATGCATTTTGTACCAGTGGAACTTTTTATACTGGAGATTAAAAAAAAAATGGAAATTTTTGTGGCTTACTCTAGTGGGCCCCCTGACAATGACTGATTTCAAGTTTGATTTCTGACTGATAGAAAGAAAGTTGCTTTTCTTTTGAGAATTAAAAACTTTGGCTTGATTTCTTTTTTCCCTTTGCTTATATCTAGCATTAGAATTTTGTCTTAAAATACAGCGGTAAGTTTCACTTTTTATTCTGTATTGTGCAGTT